GACTCTCCGCGCCTGCATTTCTCTCCTGATGCTCACGCCACACGCCACATCGTCTCGGAATTGTGGCTTGACGTAGGAAACCTCAGCGCGCACAGTGGGCCTGCTCACACCTTGGGTGTAACTCAGGGAAGCCCATTTTGGACCTCTGGCCTCCAGAGCTGTGTGGGAATGAGTGGGCGCTGTTTGAAGCCACTGTCGGGTAGGTGGCGTGGTCAGGCTTGTTTCTGCCTCCCCGTTGTGAGCTTCTAGAGCCGCCACCTGTGGCCCATGCACGCAGCGCTTGGGCGTGTGAGCACGGGGCACACGAGCCTGCAATTACTGACACTTGGGCCCAAAGAGCATGGGCGTGTGCGTGTGTAAACACTCCCACCTGTGCCAAGAGGCGAGTGAGGAAGGCAGCAGCAGCAGGGAGGACCGCTCTGAGGCGAGGACACAAGACTGAGAATGCCAGAGAGGCCAGACAAAGAGCACAAAGATTTGTGGGGAGGGCTGGGAGGCAATTGCCTGCCTGCGTCCCAGCCCGGGCCTGCCTCCTTGCATGCCAGCCTCCCTGCCTGGTGTGCCTGTGTACCTGAGTTGGCATGAAAGGTGTGTGAAATCTATCAAGGGCTCTAGGACCCCGTCTGCCTGAAACCACAGCGCACCTGCAGGTTTAGGGCACGCCGGCCCTACAGCTGCCAAGTTGGTAGTACACGCAGTTACCATAGCAAGGGAATGCTGGGGGCATGTACGTCTTACCAGGGTTGAATTTTGTAATATAAACATGAGCAACTCCATCTGGAGCTTTGCTTTGCCTTGGCGTCTGGTAGGCTTCAGCGCGCTCTCTCCCTTGTTTGCTGCGTTTCTCTCAAATATTTCTTATTTCCATGCGATTGTAAATGGTAGCTGTTTCATAAACTTTGATTTTTTATTGAGATAGCATTGGTTTACAAACACCGCATGTGATGTAGAGGTTTAGGGTCACACCCTGCAGGCGTTGTTAGCGCACAGTTCCCATCCTCAAGACACCCTCAGTCTTTACACTTTACAATAGTCTGAGCTACAGGAAAGTGACAGCAAGTGATAGTTGTTTTTTCTGTGTCTGTTTGCTGATTGCTTCTATTGGATGGAAATGCAATTTTTTTTTGGACTTTTATCTATATCCTACAACTTTGCTCAATTCACTTATTGGAGATAGTAGCCTTTGTTGTTAGGATTTTCTACATGGTCTGCTTTGCAGATATCAGCTTACTCCTCTCAGCTCTGCCTTTTCTTTGCTAGTATTGTGGCTGGGCCTTCAGTGCGATGCTGAATAAATGTATTGAGGGGGACGCATCTGCCTTGTTTCTGACTTAGGGGGAAGGTATTTAGTCTTTTCATCATTAAGTACTGTAACTAGATTTTGCATCGATGCCCTTCTGTTCCTAATTTGTGGAGAGCTTTGGTCTTAAATGGGTAGTGAATTATGTCAGTGCTTTTCCTAGAACTATTGAGGTAATTGTGTTTTTTTCTTTTTCATTCTGGTAAAACAGTGAACTACATTGATGTATTAATATTGCCCTCAAAAATAAATTGGAGGATGCCTCCCTCACTGTTTTCTGCAAGAGTTTGTGAAAAATTGGTGGCGTTTCTTCCTTATGTGTTTGGTAGATTTTGCCAGCACCTGACATTTTCTGAAAGGATTTTAACTATGACTTCAGTTTCTTTAATAGATGTAGGGATATTGTAGGGTAAAAGGTATCAGGCTTTTCTGCCCTCCCGCCATCAGGATAGATGATGGATCCCTGCGGTCCTGAACGCATGCCTGAGGGCGGCACCTGGAGCAGGGTGTGGGCCTAGGGAGATGGGATTCACCTGGGCTAAGACTGGGCTTTTAAGGGAGGTGTCACGGGGACACCAGCAGAGGCCGAGAGAAGAGGCGCAGAGAAGCTGAAGCAGAAGCAGAACCACGAGAGAGCAAAGAAGCAGAAATAACGCCAGAGAGCCCAGAAAGAGTGAAGACTTGCTGGGGGCCCGGAGGCTGGCCCTGCCTGCTGTGTAGCTGGTAATCCCAATAAAAGCCTGCAAACGCCACTGAGGACTCTGACTCCTCCTTGACCCGGTCTGCTGGGTCAGAAAACCTGCTCAGTGCCCCGTTCCTGCCCTTACCGATGTGAAAGTGTTTCTTTTCATATGAACTTCGATAATGTCTCTCAGGAGATCTACTTGCATACAATTTTCTCATCTCTGAAAGGCGGTAGACTCTGCAGTGGGGCCCTTGCTGTCCTTTCAGTGTGGGTGACTTCTGCCCGCTATTTGTTTCCTGGTCACTCTGGCTGGAGCCAGGAGGCAGCCTCGGCCTCCAGAGGTCCGCTGCCTGCCTTGGCTCCCTTCCTGCGTCTTCAGAGCCAGCAAGGGCAGGCAGAGTCCACGCATGTTTGGAATCTTTCTAACTTCCTGTAGGGTAAAGAAAATATCAGGCTTTTCTGCCCTCCCGCCATCAGGAGAGATGATGGATCCTTGTCCAGAATGCATGCCTGATGGCGGGCACCTGGAATAGGGTGTGGGCATAGGTAGATGGGATTCAGCTGAGCTAAGACTGTGCTTTTAAGGGTGGCGTCACGGGGGGACGCCAGCAGCAGCAGCAGCAGCAGCAGCAGCAGCAGCAGCAGCAGCAGCAGCAGCAGCAGCAGCAGCAGCAGCAGCAGCAGCCGAAAGAGAAGCCGAGATCACCAGAGAGCCCAGATAGAGTGAGGATTTGCTGGGGGCTGGGAGGCCTGCCAGCCTCCCGGCCCCCCAACACCCCTGCCTGCCATATGCCTGGTGAACCCCAATAAAAGACCTGCAAAAAACCTACTGAGGACTCTGACTCCTCCTTTACCCGGTCTGCATGGGATCAGAAAACCTGCACCGCGTCCAGTCCTGCCCTTACACTTCCCTCTCTGCCTCACCTCACCTGTCCCACCACCTCTCCTTGACTTGCTCTTGTGCTGTTAAGGGCTCACGTGATTACGATGGGCCCACCTCGATAATCTGGGCTACTGCCTCAGTAATGTGAACCCCATCTTCAGAATGCTTTCGTGCCAGTATCTAGATTAGTGTTTGATTAAATAACCAGGGAGCAGGAATCTTGGGGAATACCTTTAGAATTTTGACTACCACCGTTGCGGACTTTCAGACAGGAATAGTAGTGTCAGTCATCCAGGTGCACCCAGGCTCATCACGGGAACTCTTAAAAACAGAACTTGCTCTGGGAGCAGGAACAGTCAGAAATTTCAAGAGTAACAGTCAATGTGCTGTTGCTGACTTTGAGAGGCACCTCCAGGATCTGAGGGGACAGTCGAGCAAAGCCCCTGGGCCCTCAGTCAAACAAACAGGAAGCCGATTGCCAGCACCCTAGCGAGTGTGGAAGAAGAGCCCTCCCAGAGCCCCCTGAGAAGAGCCCAGGCAACTGGCATCTTGGTCTTAAGAGACTCCAAGCAGAGAAATTAACCAAACCTCCTGGACTGGCACACGCAACTGAGAGATAATACATTTCCGTATTGTTTTAAGCTGCTAAGTTTGTGGTAAATATTTCTACAGCAGCAACAGAAAACTGAAACATAATAAGTCACTCAACTTCCAGTTAGTGTTTGCTTGCTGTAACTTTTTCTGTTTTACTTTATTTTTTTTTATTTTTTACATCATTGTTCATTTTTCAACAATGTTTGCTTCCCCCACACCCTCAGGTGCAGTCCCCATAGAGTCTCCTTCCCCAGGGCGCCCGTGCACCCTCACCTCAGCCCCCGGGGCTCCTCCCTCCCTCCCTCTCACCCCCTCCCTCCTCCTCCCCTGCAGGATGTCTCTGGTTTATCATTGTCTGTTTTTGCTTTTGCGTGTTTTGTATGGCTATTGTTTTTTTTTTTTTTTACACGGATGTCTTATTGGGTTCCCCTATACTCCTCCTATAAGTGTTTTTACTTTTAATCTGTGACCTTATAGAGAAGTGTGTTGCTTATAGATAGCATATAATTGCCTTGCCTTTTTTTTAATCCAATCTAACACTCTGTCTTTTAATTGGTGTTTAAGCCATTTGCACTTAATGTAAATGCCAGTAGGTTAGAGGTCCACTGCCTCCTTGCTGCGCCCTGTGCACTGGCCCTGCAGTAGGCTGGGGCTGCAGTAGAGGCACGGCCTTTGTTTTCTTTCTCTGTGTCACCTTCCTCCCCTGCCTGGTATCCAGTGTCAAAAAATATTTTAGCCAGTTTCTTCTTTAAAGTGGGAAGGAAAATTCCCACTTCTCTTATCACATCAAAGCTGGAAGCAGACGTGCTCAACAATGTAATCTCTAATTACTATTTTAAGGCCATCCTCTTCAAGAAGTCCTCTGTGTGTGTGTGCGCACATGCGTGTGTGATTCAGTCAAAAAAAAATACAGTGCATGTACTGAGATGCTAGTACCTGTGAACGTGGCCGATGACTCGATGACTGCCTTTTAAAACATAGAATCCACTAATTAGTCAGTGACAGGGTGTGACCTTGTCCTAAACGGGCTAGTTCGGCTGCTTGGAGTGTGGCCCCGTCTCATATCCTCGCCTACCTGGCTGCTGTTCACACATCCTTCAGAACCAGCTCCAGAGTCATCACCTCCTGCTTCCCAGAACCCATGGACAGAATTGGTATTTCCTCTTCTGGGTGCTGTTGCACTCGGCCTGCAGCGCCGTCCTGTTACAATGAGGTGTTTGGCACCGTTTCCCGCCTACAGGCAGTCCTGGAAAACCAGACACTCCTTTCAGTCTTCTTACTAGTTCTTTTCTTTTTTTCTTTTTTTGGTGGGACCCTCGCTGGCGGCCGGGAAACAAACTGGCGCTGCAGAGGCTGCGGGCAGCCTCGCAACCCAGCGCTCAACCGCTGCGCCACCAGGGGAGGCCCCCTAGTTCTTCTCTTAATGAACAAGTGTTAAATTAGAGACTCTTCACATTCTGAAAAATGCCGCTGTTGTTACTGTTCCACTGTCACATATTGGTAACAGTGAATCCTCTTTAATCATTTTTCTCTTCTAGCAAATTCCTCATCTACGCCTGTCTGCTGCTGTTCTCTGTGCTGCTGGCCCTTCGTCTGGATGGCGTCATTCAGTGGAGTTACTGGGCTGTCTTTGCTCCCATATGGCTGTGGAAGCTAATGGTCATTGTTGGAGCCTCCGTCGGAACTGGAGTCTGGGCACGCAACCCCCAATATCGGTAACACTGCCCTGTATAACCCCCTCGGTCTCTTCCTGCGGAAGCAATATCTTAATTTATTTTTCACTTTTGATAAAGTAAGGATTCCTTCCTGTCTGGGGATTTATAGGAACGATAATATAGGCAAACTGAGTTCTAGTCTATGTTTTTGAAAATTGGGTGTTTGCTATGCATTTTCTTAGAAAACCAAGATTGTTTTGAGTTTTAACGTTCCTAGCCAGCTTACAAACCTCTGTGTAATCTCAAATGCACCCCACACACAGAGCTGTCACCCCATGCTGGGCGAGGACGCGTGAAGCCGTCATGGTGGGGGGGGCAGTTCTGCAAACCTACATGGTAGTTTTGGGTTTCAGGCACGTGTCCTTCTCTACTTCAGACTTACGGCTGGGGCTCCCCTTGTCCCGGTCTCCAAGTTTGGAGGTGTTGGTACTCACAGTGGTGTGGGGGAGGTAGCTTGTCCTGAAGATGGAGACAGGGGACTCTTAGGGGGCGCCTCTTCCTGGCTGCCTCAGCCCACTGGCTCCGTGTGCTGCTGGCCTGCGAGAGGCTCCTGTCCCTGCGACGGGAACGTCCGAGAGAGAAGGGGGGACTTAAGAAGTGTAGAAACTGGTGTGCCCCCGCTTGTTGCCTTTTGGTTAACAATTTGAAAAGCAAGATTTAAATTGTGTCAAGTCTGTTACCACGTATGTACATGAGAACTGTAAAATGGCTGCACAGGAGCCTTAGCAGGTGGAGGCCGGTCATGGGTCGCCATGTTCAAGTCCTGAGGCTTGTGTGTAAAGATTACCTGTGCGGCTGCGACTCTTGCCACTTGCGTGAGATATTTTCAGACATTTCATATTTGCTACTCAAGAGTGAAAAGCTAAATAAACATTTTAGTTTCCACTAATTGAGATTTACAAACTGTTGGGCTTTGTTGGTATAATTTAAAATTTTTTGAGCAAGAGAAGTTCATTCATGGTGCTTAAGCAGCTAGTTAACTGGGCTCCTTGGCGCTTCTTTGTCATGTGCAGGTATTAATTCATCCTACTGGACTAGAAAGGACAATAAAAAGGCATCCTTGTTATTTATTTGCCTTTTAAAATAACACCTAACAAGTTACCATATTTTCTTGAAATATAACCCATACTTACTCATAGAGCTAGAATTCTTTCTGTATTATTGCATGAAATGTGATTTACGTGGCTTTTAAGTTGTGGAGAGGGGAGAACCGTGAGCTTTAAGGGATTTGTCAGTTTTTAGCAGTAGAAACAGTCGGCTTGAATGATCTTGGGAGTAGCTGAATTTGAAATTCCACACAAAAGAATTTATTGCGTGCGCTGTCAGGAGATAATAACTGACTGTTACTTCTGAGACTTTCCTCACAGTCTAAATTTTTAAGTCTGGTTTACTGGCCAAGTTCATATGTGTCCTGTTGTGCGGTCGTTCTGTGACCTGTTAGAGATTACGTTCAAATTAGCTTTTGACTTGATTTCCCTTGCATCGGATTTACAATTCACAGCGTCAGCAAAAGTTGGTGTCGGCCCTGAACTGCTTGCTCCTTCCCAAGCATCCGAACTGAAAATGTTTTTTCTTCTGTCCCCTTTCAGAGCAGAAGGAGAAACGTGTGTGGAGTTCAAAGCCATGTTGATCGCCGTGGGTATCCACTTGCTGCTGCTGATGTTTGAAGTCCTGGTCTGTGACAGGATCGAGAGAGGGAGCCACTTCTGGCTGCTGGTCTTCATGCCGCTCTTCTTCGTGTCCCCGGTGTCTGTCGCAGCCTGTGTCTGGGGCTTTCGACATGACAGGTCGCTGGAGGTGAGATGTCACTACAGTTCGTGCTCCAGAGGGTGAAATCTTTTGGTCAGCTCTTCTGATGTCGATTTCTTGCCCTTTGCTAGGAAGAGATGGGTCATTAACCGCAGAGCAAGGTACATGCAGGAACCAGGGATGGTGGCATCTTCCTCCTTGACTCAGATCCCAGCTTTTCCCCCAGACCATCAGCCTTCTTTCCCTTCAGGCCTCCTCCTTGGCCCTGTATCTTCAGGCTTCTCCTGAGAAACAGCCCTAGAGGTTGGGGTACACGCAGCTGTCAGGAGGCTGCTATGAAGGTGCTGGCCCCTGTGATTGGGGGGCTGCAAGTCTGAAGTATGCGGGGCTGGGGGGCCGAGGTGCTGGAGACACAGAGAAGCCAGTGCTGCAGCCTGTAGACAGCATTCCGCCCCCGCTTCTCCTCTCAAGGATAAGAGGCCCCACGTTACCAAGGTCATATCCTTAAAGTCGGGCCCTTCACAGCAGTACCTGACGAGCGCTCGGCTAAATCACCAGCCACATTTACGTGAACTCACCACCTCCGCCCCAGCAGCATTCGGCCCCACTCTCTGGTAGCCTCGGGCCCTCCCTGCTTGGCCGCGCTGGACACATGCAGATGGAAGAGCAGCGCCGGCAGTGTCGCTGCTGGTGGTGATGACGTTTAGCGAGCACTTTCCGTGTGCTAGGCTCTGCGTAGGGCTCCCGTCTGCAGCAGGATCTCAGGAAAGCGTCACACCAACCTGGAGGCAGGCATGTCCTGTGTCCTGCAGGGGAATTGATCTGTGCCTGGAACTAATCTGGCAGAGCGAGATTCCCATGCGTCAGCCTGGCGTGAGAGCCCACCTCGCCACTGGTCTGCACTGACCCTCGCCTGCTCCCACCAGGGTGGGCCGTTAGGAAAAGCACCTGCAAGGACTCCTTGGGCCTGGACAGTGATGGAAGGAGGTAGAGAGGCACCGGCTAGACCCTCCTGGCCCCGTGCTGTCTAGTGCCAACATGCGCAGCCATGACCTGCCAGGCACTGCCTGGCTGCCCCTCCCTGCTCTGTTCCCAGATGTAGCTTAAGGCCTGTGCGTGTGTGCATGCATGTGTGCAGAGAAGCCTGTGTCGAGGGCTCTGGAGAGCATCACCATTTAAGGGGAGAGAAGGGAGGCTGGGGAGGGTGAGTGTGCAGCAGCCTCCTGGAGCCCAGCAGCAGAGGAGGAAGGAGGGAGGCGCGTCAGCACCCTTTGGTGCTGCACATGTGCCCTGGTGAGCGTGAGCTGGAATGTTGGATAGCAGGGAGGTCAGAGGGCCTGGCCTGTCTAGGGACCCTCACTCAGCATGGCAGTAACAGAGAGAGGGGCTCAAAGGGGATACTACAGTGGGTATCCCCTTTGAGGGGTGGGTTCATTGGTCTTGGGGTTTTGTCTTTTAATGGGAATGAGCTGCACTTGTTTTTGCACTTGGAGGAAAGAGCAGTCGCATAGGTGGGGAAACAGCACGTACATACATAACTGACATGTTGATGTTGGCGGGTCCTCCAGGAGCCGGAAAGGAATGGGCTGCAGGGCTCGGTCCTGGGTCCTGGGTCCAGAAGAAATACAGTGAGGGCTGTGGATGGAGATGTCTGTGAGCACAGGGCCAAGAAGGAGGCTGGGGGGCACAGTGCATTGATATCTCTGCGCTGGGCGACCCCAGAAGCAAGGCCATTGCCTGGGGGGCACAGGGCGAGGCCGCCCCGCCCCAGAGGGGAGTGGGGCGGCAGGAGGCCAGCAGGCCTCTCTCACAGCGCTGCTTTGCTCCTCTGGTGCTGAGCTTCAGAAGGTTCAAGCTTCCCTTGATGGACCTCCGGCGCTGGAGCCCGCCTTCCTCTCATGTGCTGACCGAGGAACTGCAGGACTGAAAACAGGGTTCACGGTGTTTAACTGCTGCTTCTCTTCGTTTCCAGTTAGAAATCCTGTGTTCTGTCAACATTCTCCAGTTTATATTCATTGCCTTAAGACTGGACAAGATCATCCACTGGCCCTGGCTTGTATGTAATTTTTAAAATTCTTTAATAAACTTTTTTATTGTACAAGTAATTTGTATTCGTTGTAGGAAACTAGGAAAAGACAGACAGAGGTAATAGAATAAGCTCTGAAATCCACTGGGGAATGGCATGGTTACTGGTTTTGTTTCCTTGTTTTGAGGTTTAGTGTTTCATAAAAATAGTGGAGATTATACCACATGTGTTTGTATGCTGCTTTTTTTGTCTAATGTGCTGTAAGCATTTTTTCATGTCAGTCAGAGGTCTTTATAAATATAATTGTTAAAGTTTAATTGATGCAAAATAGTCTTTGAATGTGTTTCTACCCCTCCCCCCAGTTTCCAAATATTTATTCCCAGTGCTTTGGGATTATAAATCATCCTGCAGTGTGTATTTTTGGGCGCAAAAGAGCTTTGCCTCATTTTTCATGTTTTCTTAGGAAAGACTCCAAAAACAGTATTACTGGGCCAGAGGGGAGGAACTTTTTCAGATTTTGAAAGACAGGCTGCACTGCCAGCTTGCTTTTCAGAAAGGCTGTGCCAGTTTGCACTCCTTCCAGGAGTGAGTTCAAAGTTATGCTTAGAACCTGTGGCTTCAGCTAATAGACCGTGCATAGACCTAGACGGGGCGGCGGAGGGGGTTGGAGGGAGGTGGGCACAGCACCTATCGGGAACCGCACACCCTCTTGATTCAAGTCCCAGGTCCAGAAACCAAGTGTAACAAAAACATACTGGTAGAAGAAAACATAGAAGAAAACCATGGGGAACCTGGGGTTAGGTGAGGGGTTCTAGAAGTGACACCAACATGGTCCATACAAGCAACTGAAAATAAAATGAAGTGAATGAAAAGACAGGCCAGATTAGTAGAAAATATTTGCAAAGCACTGATCCAGCCAGGAACTTGTATCCAAAAAAAACTCAAGATTCACAAATAATAAAATAACCTAATGAAAAAAATGAAACAGTTGAACGCACAATTCACAAAGAGGCTGGCGGCCATAGGCCTGAGTCTCTGTCAGGGAAAGACCAAGAAGCAAGAGAGGGTGCTGCCGGGCACCCATCCTGGTGGCCAAGGAGTCAGCACTGACGAGGCCAAGTGCTGGAGGGGACACAGGCTCAGGACACTGGCACAGCATGGCTGGCTATGCCAAACTGTTTCGGTGCTCTGGAAAGCAGTCTGGTGATTTCTAGAAAGTTAAACACAGAGCAAGCATGTGACACAGCAGTCACCATCTTAGCTCTTTGCCCCCAAGAAACAAAGATGTCTGGCTACACAAAAGCCCACAGTAGGCAGCACCCCAGCCTCCTTCCCGGGTGAGCAGCTGCTCAGACTGCGGGGCATCCAGGTGAAGGAAGCCCACTCAGCACTAGCCAGGTTCAGACAGGACACGGTTGCAGCACCAGCACCGTGCGGACGGAGAGAAGGCGGTCTCTGAAGGGGACATGCTGCGTGAGTCCAGTATGTCGCCCTGAGAAGACGAGAGTAGTGACAGCCGGCCGGATGACAGCGGGGGAGGGTTTGACACCTTGCAGGGACAGTGCAGGGAGTCTTGGGATGGCAGGGCATGGCCCTCGTCCTGCCTGGGGTGGTGCAGATGTGCACGTGTGTGCTGTTCCCCAAGAGAAAGCTCTGAGAAGGAATGAGACATGGACTAACTGCCCTTGGCCCTGGGCAGCACAGGAGGGAGGACAGGTCACTGGGAGCCCGGCCCGCTGAGGCCTCCGGGATCGTGGGGGACGAGGCGTGAAGCAGTCTTTCTGGTAGGACAGCCGCCCATTACGCGCTCCCTGGGCCAGGTGGCGGGACCTGAGCTGGAGCCACCGGGGCATTGTTAGTGCCCTGGCCTGTGGCTCTAAGCAGCCTGGATGCCAGGGAGCATGGACCCCCCCGAAGTCTCCCGCCAGGGCACCTCCAAGGACTGTGCCTGCACAGAGGGTATAGCAGAGTGGGGTTCAGCTGGGAGGGGCACAGCGCAGGGCTCGGGCATGTGCCTTGGGAGAAGCAGCCTGCAGGGTCTCGCCCTGAAGGCCCTCACCATGGTCAGGCTGTCCCCACGGCGGTCCTCTGCTCGCTCAGGCCACGCTGAGGCCAGCACGAGGTTGGCGGTGCCCCCGTGGAGGCGGGGCCCAGTGCTGAGGCACTTGTCTCCTCCTGTGCAGGTCGTGTGCGTGCCCCTGTGGATCCTCATGTCCTTTCTGTGCCTGGTGGTCCTGTACTACATCGTGTGGTCCGTGCTGTTCCTGCGCTCCATGGACGTGATCGCAGAGCAGCGGAGGACGCACATCACCATGGCGCTGAGCTGGATGACCATCGTTGTGCCTCTCCTTACTTTTGAGGTGAGCCATGCGCAGGTGTCTGCGGGCCCTCGTGAAGCCCCTTCCCGGGACGGGCACCTGCATGCCTCTGTTCCTGGAAACCGCCCAGTGGGTGCCTGGAGAGTGGGTCTGCAGGCAATGTTCAGTTTTGCCATGTTTTCCTTGGGGGAGGGGGGGGCGCTAGGGATTGCAATAAGGGGCCAGGCCACGATGTGTCTGCACAGGTCCAGTGTCCAGCTATCTCTTGGAAGAGAGAGCCGCCTGTGCAGCTCTGCGGTGAAGCTGTGGCGAGTGAGGGGATGGGCGGGGCACCTCCTTAGAACCAACAGCAGCAGGCTGTCCCAGAGAGCCTGGCAGTGTACATGGGAGGGACGGGAGCTCAGGCCTCGTCCTCCCCAGAACAGGGGTTGCTGAAGTCACGCCTGAGACCAGAGTCCTGACGGGGAGGGCGGGGGTAGGGGGCGCACACAGTCGTGTTCCTGGGCTGCCTCCACAAGACATGGTGCTTTCTCCTCAGATTCTGCTGGTTCACAAGCTGGACGGCCACAACGCCTTCTCGTGTGTGCCCATATTTGTCCCCCTCTGGCTGTCCTTGATCACGCTGATGGCAACCACATTTGGACAGAAGGGAGGAAATCACTGTATGTACTCTACCGCAGAAGCCCTGGCCCCGTGTGTCTCTGTGTGTGGGTGTGTGTCTCTGTGTACATGTGTTCTGTATGTGTTGTGTCTGTGGGTGTAGAGGTAGGTGTGCATCTTGTGTGTCACAGTGGGTAGATGTCTGTGTCTCTAGGTGCATGTGTGCATCTGCGCATGTCTCTCGGGGGAATGTGTGCTGCATGTGTTTACACATGACCCTGCTCTGTCAGGATAAGCCCAAGGGCCCCAACTAAGGAGTTTGGGTGGGAAAGCAAGCTAGGGGTGAGGAAGGTCTGGATCTTCCATGGCAAGGCTTTCCCGGCCTGCACCCCATCTCCCTGCAGGGACTCTGCCACGACAGTTAGGACTCACGTAGCAGGGACCCTTGACCCCTCCCCTCTGCTGCAGCGTGGGCATCAAGATACCTCCTTCCCAAGGCTCCCAAGGGTTCCACGCCCCGACATGTCACCCACAGAACCCCAGAGTCCCCTAGCTTGTTTCCTCCTCATTCACCCCATCTTGTCGGGGGCCCTTGCTACTCTGTCGCCAGCCACAGGCCATGATATCCTTTGGAGGCCATCTCTGGAAATGTAGCCAGACCAGGAGCTGTGAGGTGGCCCCTGGGTTCCTGGCCTGGACCAGCACTTAGCACCTGTCTGCCATCCTCTCAGATCCCAGGGGATGATGCAGCTCCTTTCCTTGGGAGACGACCTTGGGGTGCATGAGTTGGCCAGGACCGAGGATGAGAGGATAGAGCATCTCCTAGGAGCCGCAGGTGCTTGACCCTTAGTGCTGGTCAGGATCCCCTGGAGGGCCTGTGTCCCTGCAGCTCCTGATCCAGGTCTGGGCTGAGCGCATGGTGGCCCTTACAGGCCCTGGGCACCCTGTCCCACACACTGGCGCTGCTTGGAGAACCACGGAGCTAGGGCTCCCTTCTGCCGCCTGGGCACGCAGGCCTTGCTCGGGCTTGGAATGAAGGTGTCGGCACAGAGCAGGACGCTTAGAGTAGGAGTTCCCACGCCCACAGGACATCAAGGAGAAGGCCAGTGTTTGCAAAGTGATCTCTTCTTTTTCAGGGTGGTTTGGGATTCGCAAGGACTTCTGCCAGTTTCTGCTAGAAATCTTCCCATTTTTGAGAGAATACGGGAACATCTCCTACGATCTCCATCACGAAGACAGCGAGGAAAGCGAAGACACCCCTGTTCCGGAGCCTCCTAAAATCGCCCCCATGTTCCGAAAGAAGACCAGGGTCGTCATCACCCAGAGTCCTGGAAAGTATGTCCTCCCACCTCCCAAATTAAACATCGAGATGCCAGATTAGAGACCACGTCCTGGACAGACCTGGTGGACCGGCGCTCCTCCCCACCCTGCCCTGCCTCGTGCTCACCTCCCAGAAGCGGCCCTGGAGCCTGAGCTGGCTCCGGGCACCTCCATCTCATGCCTTGTTTGCACTCAATGCCTAGCGGGGACTCGCCCCCAAGGACAGACCGCTGGGGGTCCCGGGTGGGCGGTGGCCGCACACGTGGAGGATGGCGGGCAAGTGCCTGCAGGAAAGGCCTCTCCCTGGGGCCAGGCTTCCCAACCAGCAGCCCATTCCCAGTGGCAGGGCGCAGGAGCCATGGAAGGATGGCCACGCACTGTGGGCCCCTGCGCCCAGCTTCACATCCGCCTCGTCTGTTCTGGGACCCAGTGATGACTAGGTGCCAGCCTGGCACGGGGCTGTTCCGGGTAATCCGGAGGAACTCACTGCTCAGGGGCTCCCTAGGGGCTCCCATTCAGGCCTTGGTGGCTGCACGGGGCTGGCCGCTGACAGCACTTTCCAGGGGCCCCTTGGCAAAACTGCAGGGGGTGACTCGTGCCTGTACAGTATTTATACGACTCTTTTAGCATTGTAATATACGGTGTTCCTTCCCGGTTCTGTGCAGCCTCTTCTGTGGGACTGTTTTCACTGGCGGTACGGGAGACAGCTCTTCTGTGGCAGAGGACCCAGATGGCACGCCTGCCCCACCCCCGTGCCCCCTTCATGGGACATGGCCTGTCCCCCTTGAATTTCTGCACATACCTGGTAGCTGCTGCCGCCAGCACAGCCACGACCTTCAGAGGGTTTGGGCTTTTTGACATTGTGGGAACACCGACTGTGCCAGAAAACATTATGACAGGGCTGGAGGAGGGTGCCGGACAGAGTGGCCGAGACCAGAAATGGCCAGAGGTGGTCTGTGTGTGGAGCTGGACCCCAGGTGGGGTTCACACTCTGAACTGGGTCACCCACACTCCCAGAGCTGCCAGTACAGCCAGGAACCCCAGGGGTCCATGGTGGACCCACAGGACAGTGGCCGCCACCTGACATGCTTTGCTGCTACTCTGAGTGCGAGGGTGGGAGCACCTGCCTGCTCACCCAGGAGAAGCATCTGGGTCTAGTGGGCACGTGGACCTGTCTCAGCCTGGCCCCATCACCCCGAGTCTTGCCGCTGGCCAGCCCTCTGGCAGCCCCATAGGGCGGGGGGGTGGGGGGCAGTGGTTCCGACATGTGGAACGCTGTCACCTGTCCTCGGCGTGTGGCAAAGGGACCTCCAGACATGCCTCCTCTCCCTGTAGCTGGTCCATAAAACAGGCTGTGCCTTTTCCGGGACCCCGACAGTCAGGCCCTCCTGGTCGGGGAGCAGGAGTGGTTCTCAGTGAGCCTGAGGATCCCTGGAGTTGCCCCCAGGTGGGGCGTGCAGGGCAGCGGCATCCTCTAACACGACTGCAGCTGTCACGGGTCGGGCGGAACACAGGGGTCAGGGAGAGTCTCCCACGGCCTGAGGACCCCAGCAGCTGCTGGCCTGGCCTGGTGACTCGACAGGTGTGTTGTCAGCTTTCAACACCATCTCGCCCTGAAGTCTGCTCTTCGGTGGTCCCTGGGCGATGCCCACTCATGTCTGTGGCTCGGTGTTGCTTTCCTTTAAATAAAATGCTATGAGTCCTGGCCGCCGCCCTAGCGTCTCTGCCTTGATGTGTGCACCTACTCGGTGGCCTTGTGGCCCAAGGCAGGCAGCAATTGAGGAGCAAGGGCACTGCGGGGGGCACAGAATGACTCCTGTGGCAGCCACGGGCCTCAGAACCCTTTGGTCTGCTCCGTAGATTGCGCACAGGTCTCAGGCAGCACCATGTATGGGACCGAGGCTTAGTGCCCTGGGAGCCTCATGGCCCAGGAAGCAGGTGCTGCCGCTAGTATCCCCCAAGCCCTGAACAGGCTCAGAGAGGTGACAGGGCCCAAAGTCACGCAGCTACGAAACAGCAGGACTGCGCGGCCATGTCCCCAGCCTGCGCACAGGGGCCTGGCTCCCGCCCGCTGCCAGGTGCAGGCCCTGGGCTGACCCGCTGAGGGCAGCCCCCGTGTGCAGGCATTTCTGCTTCCTGGACACGTCTGGAAGATGGCTGAGTTCCGGGCACTCCGAAGGACTGGGGGGAGTGGGTGGAGGAGGCCTGTCTGTGGGAAGAAAGTGCCAGAAGGCGGCTGTGCAGGGCCGCCTCTTCCCTGACAGCCGCCCTGCACCCCGAAGGCAGGATCACGGGGCCCAGGCCAGTTCCGTCTGTGCACACGGCTTAGGAAAGGGGCGCCTGTGACGGCAAGTGGCAGGTGGACTCCAGGGGGGACGCGGGTGCCTGCAGGTGTGTTCACAGCCTTAGACCTCCCTCGCTTCCAAGGGCAAGCCCTTGGCCAGAACAGGCCTGACGGGAATGGGGGGGGGGAAGCCATGGCCATAGCTTCTCGGGTTGGGGGGTCCCCAGGAAAGGTGGCCACCCGCGCCCTGCCCTGGACGTCAATTCTAAAAGCCTCACCGTCTTGTCTGGGCCCTCCAGGCCGAAGGACTGACGGTGGGCGTGGCCCGGGGTCAGCAGCTCAGTGGGGGCCTCAGGACGAGAGAGTCGAGGGTCCCCAGCCCATCCCCGTGCTGGGCATGTGACCTTAAGGCCTGCAGCAGTGTCATGGTTGCCAGGGAAGCGACCTTGCGGGGTCAGAAGTGGCCTGGCCCGACGGGTCACTGAGAGGGCTGGCCTCTGTGGGCCCTCTGTGACCTCACCAGCTGGCGGCGTTGTGATGTCAGCCCCTGGGACCAGAGCCCCTGTGTGACGTCCGTGGCCGCTGCACTGTCAGCGCGGGTGGCACTGGCCACGCCGGCTCTCGCGTGGACAAGGAGGAAGGGCGGCCACCGCCCGAATGGCGGCAGAGAAGACCCCCCCCAGAGGCCAGAGCCCTGGCCTGGGATGGAGGCCTCTGCCCCCAGAGCCCAGGGCAGCCCCTCCTGGCCTGTGGAGGGGAGCCACTGCACCGGACCCCTCGCTCATCCGGCGCCAGCTGGCCCTGGCTGGGGGCCTGAGGGTGGCCCGCCGCCAGGGGCAGTTGCCTCCCAGCTGGTGACCCCGCGGCCTGGGTGCAAGCGGCCACGGGCCGCCTGCGTCACGCTGTCGGAGGCCCAGGGCTCGCTCCTCTCCCTGCCCTTCCCGCGAAAGCTGTGGGAAATTGTCAGCAGCCCTCAGTTTGAGTCCATCCGCTGGCACAGCAGCGGGACCTGCATTGTCATCAACCAGAAGCTGTTCGAGAAGGAGATCCTGGACAGGCAAGGGCCCAGCAAGGTGTTTGAGACCGACTGCATGAAGAGCTTCCTCCGCCAGCTGAACCTCTACGGGTTCAGCAAAATATGGCAGGACGAGTCCACCCCCGTCTGCCTGGACCACGTTTCCACAGAGGAGGCGCCCTCCCATGAGCCGAGCAAGGTGAAGGAGCAGGGGCTCAGCTGGGGGCCTGGGTGGCAGGTAGGCTGGGGGGGGAGAGGCGGGGGAGGGATGCCAGGAGCCCTCTTGGGACCGGGGGCTCGGGGTGCCAGTTCCCGACGGCCCCGAGAGTGACTAGAGCTCCCTGAGGGCACGGTGGGGCCTGGCGCCCGGTGCCAGCAGGAGCCTGAGTGCCGCTGGCCGCGCGGACGGGCCCGCTGTGGAGGGAGGCCCACGGGCGCGGGAGGCCCCCCTCCAGGAGGCGCGCTGGGGGGTGCGAGCGTCGCGCGTGGCCCCGGGGGAGTGTGCTGCGGGGCTGCTGCTTCAGGGCCCGTGGGAGGCGAGTCACCCACGCCCCGCCACCGGCACAGCCCGCGCGTCCATGGCGTCTCCAGGAAGACAGGCTGCCCTTCACGCGCCGCGTCCCGGTGTCCGGCTGGGGGACAGACGTGCCCTGGGCTTTCGGTGACCGAGGACAGCCGGGGCTCTGGAGCCCCAGGTCCCCTCCTGTGAGACCATGTGTCCCCTGGCTAGTCGTGGGGGAGCCCCAGGAGCTGTGGAAGGTGGGGTGCCCGGGCCGCCGCCCAAGCTGGAGGGCCCCGGTGGCCCAGGGCCAGTGACTCGAGGCCAGGGGTGCCTGCCGCGGTGGCCGCCTGACACCGCCTGGGAGGGCCCCGTCTCCTCTGCCCGTGCCGCCGCCAAGCCCCTTTCTCCGGACTCGCCTCCGCCCCGGGCGGCCCGTCACCGGCCGTCTGTCCTTCCAGGAGAAAGGGCGAGGCCCGAGTTAGGGCACCTGGAGGCGGCAGAGGAGGGGACAGCTTCCCCGGCTGCAGCGAGGGGCCCAGAGGCCGGGGGCTGGGGCAGCCGCGGGTGTGTGACTGGCGGTTTCTTCTCCCCGGGGCGCCCTGCCTCGCAGCTACAGTTCTACTGCAGCCTCTTGTTCCGGAGAGACAGCCCCCAGCTCCTGGCGCGCATGCAGAGGAGGACCCGCAGCCGGGCTGCGCTCAAGCAGAGGGAGGGCGCGCCGCAGGCCCCGCCGCTCGCCCTGGCCGCCACCTCAGCCACCGCGCGGCCCGAAGCCGCGGGCTCCCGGACGGCAGGTCTGCAGACGCCCGCCCGCGCCGAGCTGCCACTGGACGCGGCTGCCGCCCCGGCCCGCAGGGACCCCGTCCTGCCGACCGCTGCCGGGAGGCCGGCCCAGCCCGCCGCCCGGCCCATCGCTGCAGTGGGCCCGTGGGCCTCCGGCCAGTACCAGGGCGCCGGGGTCCCGGCCCGCTGGGGGCACAGGCCGCCCCTTTGTACCTGCGCCCCTTCGTCCCCTTTACCTTGCCCGCCCCGCAGAGCAGCCCTTACTGGCCCGTGGGGAGCCTGGCCGGGGGACGTCCCAGAGGCCTCAGCGCGCCCACCTCTCAGCTCTCCACGGCCAGCGTGCTGACGTGGTGCCACCCCTTGGGCTCCATGCCTATCATGTCTCCTGGGCCCGCCGGCCCCGGCTTGGCGGTGCCTCATCTGCCGAGTCCATTCTGCTGGCCCAGCCCCCGTTATTTCCCCGCATACCGTCCGCCTCCCCACGGGCCCGCGGACCGTGCCGATGACCCCAGATGACGGCGGTCGCGGCCATCCGAGCGCCGTCAATAAAAAGTGCTGGAAACAGCCGTTGTCTGCTGCACAAACATGTGCGTGGCCTCTGCTTCTCTCCTGGCGTGGCCCTCGCTCAGGCAGCTCTTCCTGGGGGTGGGGCGAGAGGAATGCACCCCCAAGCCCCTGCACAAGCGGGTTTCTGTTGTGTGTAGTGTAGCTTTGTTGCAGTTTATATTTGTATTTTTCTTTAGACAAAATGATGCTAAATGTCCTTTTATAAGCCGCCTTTGTGACTGCATCTCCTCCGGGGTGAAATGTCTTCAATTTGCTGGCTTCATTTTTCATTGTGTTTCCACATTTTTGCCAAAGTGCTTTCCTCATTTGGGACGGGCGTCCTTTATCAGATACCGGAGGTCAAATATTTCTCCCATCTCTGGGTTTCTCCCTTACTCTTTACAGTGCCTTTTTAAAACGAACTTTTAATTTTAGGGTCGTTTTGGATTTAATTTTAGGGTCATTTCAGAAATACTGCCAAGACAGGTTGTGGCGTCTCCATGTGCACTCTGAGCACACACTAGGTGGAGATGTGGAAGGCGCTTCTCCCCCGCATGGAGGCCAGAAAGTGAACCTCACGGTCCGCCATGGCGCATTATCAGGTCCCCTCAGAAGCGCGGCCTCCCAGCCCCGCTGCACACCTCTTGAGTGATAATCACTGTGGGGACACCAGGCGTCCAAAGCCGGGGAGTCACCTGGTGAGGAGCCCCCCGGGAGGTGGGCTCCTGCTCTGACTGCACCCATCGTCCTGGCATGGCAGCCCCCACCCAGCACCTGTCCTGGGACGCAGCCGCTCTCTGCAGGGGCTGGCGAGGGAGTGAGGACTGAGGGCTGCAGCCACTCAGGGGATCCACAGAACCTAGTTGCACCCTGATGAAAGCTCTGAAGGACCCCAGGGAGAGTGGTCAGCAATCTCGAGGAGTCAGAGCCTTAGTGTGAGGGGAGCGCACTCAGATGACAGAGGGTCGGCACAGCCCTGCTCGAGTCAAGGTGAGGACCAAAGGGAATAGAGCGACCCTCACGGGATTCATCTCTGCCTCTCAGGAAAGCCTTGGGAGGGCCCCAGAGTCATTGGGCCAATGTGACGTCCACCGACTTCCACTCGGAGGTTTGAAGTAGGGGCCTTGGTCTGAGGGTTGCACGATTCTGCCCGAGTCAAGGTGAGAATCAAAGGGAAGACTGAGGGGTCCCACCCATCCCTCCCCCTCCCCCATGGTGTCCATGAGGGACCCAGGCATGGTTTCAAGGAGGAGCTCCCATCCACCTGCTCAGGCAACTCGGGAGTCAGAGACTGGATCTGGGTGGACTAGGCTCAGGTATGCTGACTAGCCTGCCTGAGTTCAGGTGAGATGGAGAGGGAGACTGGAGGGACCCACGGAATCCAGTCCAGCAGCCGCGTCAGGACTGAGAGACCGCAGGCCGCGTGGTCAGGCTGAGCACTGTCCCGGCAACCCAGGCCCCACGTCCTCAGGGTCGCGGGATTCAAGGACCTGGTGTGACACGAGCAAACTTGAGTCCGCAGAGTGGAGGGCCCAGACCTTGCTGCTCGTCAAGATGGGGATCCTCGGGGAGGACAGAGGGCCAGTGGGCCCCAGAAAGGAGGGAACCCGCACAAGCGGGCCCCGCCACCATTGCTGGGAGACCCCCGGGAGGGAGGACCCAGCACATTGTTTCCTAACCTCCGCATGCGGGTCTCCGTGAGATCCTGGGCTTGGCGTAATAGAGCAAGAATTCAGGTCAGCAAGGTTGGGGTGGGGTGGGGCACGGACTTCACCAGGAATAAAGGTGAGGATCCTGTGGGAGGACTGAGGGACTCTGAACCCTAGTTCTGAGGGAACCCCACAACACCTGCAGTGCTGTCAGACCTGGGGTGGCAAGAGGTGAGAGCACGTGGCATCCTGACTTCTGCATCCGGGTCTGTCTGAGAGAGACTGGGCACCTGGAATAAGGAGCCTTTGGTCAGCACAGAGAGGTGTCAGGTCCTTCCTAAGTCAAGGTGAGGACCCCAGCGAGGACTGAGGGACAGAGGACCCGAACAGTGTCAGCACTGGGAGGCTCTGGAGCTACTCTCCAATGGGGCTTCTGAGCTCCCCCTGGAAATCTCAAGGAGGCTGGGGGTGCTGAGGGACAAGGACTTGGGGCAGCAGAGGGGAGGCAGTAGGCCTATGGGGAGTGGAGGTGGGACCCAGAGTGAGTGAGGACTGAGGTCCCACAACAGAGAGAGCCCCTTTGCCCCTGTTCTTGGTCTGGGAGGCCCCAGGGCAGGTGAGCAGTGAAGTGTTTCCTGACTTCTCCCTCAGGGTGTGTATGTGGGAGGGCGGGGGCTGGTGGTCAAGGGGCCTTGGCGTGTGGAGTGTGGCCTCAGGCCGGCAGAGGGAGGAGGGGAGGCCCCTCAGGAGGACAGCCCCTTGGTGCAGTGGGAGGTACCACGCACCCCAGAGAGGGCGGGAGCACGCAGAGTCCAGCTGTGGCCTGTCTCAGCCTGGAAGGACCCAGAGGCGGTTGTCCGAGTGCAGGCTCGCATAGACCATGGGAGGGAAGGTGGGGAGGCCTCAGGGGGTGAGGTCTTGCTTTGGGGGGGCATCAAGTCATCCCAGATGGGGGCCGGAGGCAGGCCAGGCCTGATGGGAGTAAAGATGACTAACCCACAGCAGGACTGAGGGCGCCCCAACCCAGAACAGAGGGGCTGCACCCTGACAGTCTCTTCTGGTCATGGGTAGGGTGGGGGTGAGGATGTGGATCCTCCTCACGTTCCTCTCCAGGTCTCAGGGAGGAGAGGACCTGGTTGGTCCGAGACGTCAAGTCATCCAGGGAGCCACATCTGGTGACCAGAGAGGAGTCCAGGTCCTGCCAAGAGTCCAGGTGAGGACCCGGGGAATCTCAATGACCAGACCAGAACGGGGGCTCAGGGAAGTGTGGGTTGCCCCTCCTGTCAGCCCTGGAAATCCTGGGCAGGGCTATCAGGCCGGGCCCTCCTCACTTCCAGATCCGAGGTCAGGAGGGAAGGGCTTTGGTCTCAGGGCCTCGATGCAGGTCAGGCCTGGCAGGGCTCCAGGTGAGGCCCAGGAACCTAGAGGCCCCTTTAGGACCCTAGAAGCCTTGGGCAGGTGTGGCCAGAGTGAGTGCAAATGGAACCTGAGACCCCAGAAAGAGGGGACCCCACAGGTCCTGACCTCACCCGACTGTCAGCCCTGAATGTCGGGGCTGCGGCAGCCACACCCTGGGCAGTCATCTCACACCCTCCTTCAGGTTCTTGGGGGTCACACCCAGGAGGCCAGCTCTGTGAGGCCCAAGAGCACCCCTAAACAGGAGCCTGTAAATCACCTTTGTCACGGCCACCGGGGGCGTTTCTCAGCTGACGCCTCCAGCACTGCCCTCACCTCCTGTTCCCAGTCCTGCCAACTCCCCACAGGTGTCACCATGTCTCTGGGTCAGAAGAGTGAGCCCTTGAAGCTCGAGGAAGACGTTCAGGGGCCCAGTGAGGCTCATGGCCTGCAGGATGGCCCTGTCCTAACGCTGCCCGGGGCTGGGAAGACGAAGAGGTGGCCTCCTTCGTGTCTGCCTCTGCCTTCCACTGCCACCCTGTCCAGGATAATCCAGAGCAGGCTGCTCTTGTGACGCCCAGTGCTTCCCAGGTCCCTTGCCGTGTCAGCCGCCCCTCCAGGGCCTGTCTTGCCTCTCTGTGCAACATAACCCCGGAGGAGGACATTACCCAACAAGCAGAGGGGCCAGGCAGCTCCCAGGAGTCAGCAGAAGCCCGGCCCCCCGCACTCCCCCCAACGCAGCACTGCAGGAGAAGTTGGCTGAGCTGGTGTGGTTCTTGCTCCAGTAGAGCAGCAAGGAGCCGACCAGCCAGAGGGAAATGCTGAGGGAAGTCCTTGGTAAGGGCCAGGAGCACTTCCCTGTGCTCTTCAGCCAAGCCTGCGAGTGCCTGCAGAGGGTCTTCGGCATCGATGTGACCGAAGCAGAGCCCAGTGGCGACACCCATGTCCTGGCCACCCCCCTGGGCCTCTCCTACGATGGGCTGCTGAGCCCTGAGCAGCTCATACCTAAGACAGGCCTGCTGGTGTTTGTCTTGGGCGAGACCCTCCTGGAGGACAGAGGTGCCTCCGAGGAGAGTATCTGGCGAGTGCTAGGGGGGATGGGGGTGTGTGCTGAGATGGCGCACCTTATCCTTGGGGAGCCCAGGGAGCTCCTCGCGGAAGTGTGGGTGCAGGAGCAGTACCTGAAGTACCGGCAGGTGTGTGCTAGTGACCCCCCCCCCCCCCGCTGCGAGTTCCTGCGGGGCCCCAGGGCTCACGCTGAGACTGACAAGATGGACGTCCTGGAGCTTATGATCAAGATCGACAGCGTAGATCCCAGGTGCGTCCCCGCTTTCTCTGGAGACGCTGTGAGCAAGGAGCAGGAGGAGGCCTGAGCCAGGGGGGCAGAGGGAGCCAGGGGTTCAAGGGGGCAGGGAGAGTTGGGGCACACGGTGCACATCCCGCCGGCCAACAGAGTGAAGGGCAGGACCCAGTTGTCTGCAGCAGCTGGAGAACGTGTGGCCCCAATAAACCATCGTCGGCTCCTGTCCTAATGGGAAAGATGGCGAGGACTTGGGTTTTGCACCAGGGCCTGAGAACAGGAGTCTGGGCCCCTGAGCAGGACCAGCCACGGGAGCAGCTGGAAGAGACCACGGTGAGCAGCGGGGGTGGAGGGTGGGCTGCCAACCTCGACTAGGCCGGCCAGCCAGCCGGGACCACCGTCTTCCGGGAGCGACTGGCACCCAGGGTCCCTCTGACCCGCGCCGTCCTCGTGCCACCCAAGGTGGGACTTGCCAGGCCCTGTCCCCCTGTGCAAACCAGGGGCCGGCACGGGGACTCCCCGACTGTGTGGGGGGGGAGCGGCGCGGGCTCTTGTTTTCTCAACCCTTCCTGGCCCGGCCCCGTGGAACAGCGTGCCCGCCAGTGCACTTGGGCAGGCACCGCAATGCCACCGTCTACACCTTGGGAAGACAGAGAAGCTGGGGGCGCGGCACCCCCCCCCCCAGGATCCATGGACTTCTCCAACATGGCCGGGAGCCCCTTTGTGATGTCACATGGCCAGCAGAGGGGGTGGTGACTCGCGCAGCCGGTTGCTGCCCTACGGAGACTCTAGAACTCTGCGGACGGCATATATTGGGCACGCCGCCCGGGCCGAGGGCATTCCCACACGAGGACCGCGGGCGGATCCTGGGGCGCGCACCCCCAAGGAGACTAGCTCGATGGCTGGCTCGGGCGCCAAGGAGGCGCGCGACGGGCAGCGGGCCTTGGCCGCGGCCGCGGGGCTGGCGGCGGCGGTCCCCTCGCAAGCATACCCCGAGCCAGAAGGGGACCCGGGGCGGGCGTCGGGGCAGGACGGCCACCCAGATCGGGGACCGGATCCGGGGCCCCAAGGTGCGCCCCAGCCCCAGGACCCGAACCCAGGCGCCGCCGGCCTGGGGGAGGACGTTCTGGGGCTCCCCTTCCCCAGGAAGCTCTGGATGATGGTGGAGGACAGCAGCCTGGCGTCCGTGCAGTGGAACGACGCCGGAGACGCCGTGGTCATCGACGAGGGCTTCTTCCAGACAGAGGTGCTTCAGCGGAGCGGCCCGGACAGAATCTTCGAGACGGACAGCTTGAAGACCTTCATCCGGCAGCTGCACCTGCACGGATTCAGCAAAATCCGCTCGCTGAGGGACAAGGGCCTGATGGTAACGCAGCGGCGCCCGGCCCCGGGTTCGGTCCCCCGCGCGTCCGGGGAGCGCAGGAGGGGCCGGGGGCGGGCGGGGGCGGACAGGGCTCGCGGCGAAAGGGGCCCTTTCTCCCCAGATCTACAGCAACAGCCGCTTCCTGAGAGGCAGGCCCGAGCTCCTGGACAGCTTCGAGAGCGCCGGCCCCGCGGGAAGGATGGCTCACCGGGGGCTCCGCGGGCCGCGCCCAAGAGGAGGAAGATTTCGCAGGTGGCCACGAGACGCTCCCCGAGACTCCTTCAGCTCAACGCCAACAAAGAGGCCTGGAAGAAGACCCAGGAGGCCCCAGCTGCCCAGGGGCCCGGGGGCGCCCCGTCAACGCTCTTCTCTGGCGCCTGGCCCACGAGCGGCGTGGCGGGGAGCCCCGGGGGAGGTGGCTGCCCCGGAGAGCCAGGCGGCCCCCGCGGGGAGGGCACGTCCGGGAATGTCCTGTTTGCGTCCCGGGTGCCTGCTGGCCAGGAGGGTGCGGGGGAACTGCCCAGCAGCCCCCCGGCTCGCGCCAGCTACGCCTCGGTGCTGACCCTGTACAACACCTGCTGTTCCATCCTGCTGGCTGCGCTGTCAGCCATGGCCCCCGACGAGGACCCCGACGGGGAAGATGAGCAGGAGGGCCCCTCGGATTACAAGTGCACGCTCTGCGAGCAGTTCAAGGACAACCCGCACCCCTGATCTCCCGGCCACCGCTGACCGGTACAGGCGGCCGCTCAGTAACGGTGCAGCTTTTCAGTTTTAATAAAGAAATGCAAGTCTGAGGGAGGAAATAAAGAAATTCAGCAGGACCGCGAGTCTGTGCCTTTCTCAGCTCGTACGACACACGCCCCAGGCCGGGATGGCCGGGAGGCGGCGCCCGGCCCAACACACCTGCCGGCCCCTCTGTCCTTTGCTGGAGCGGTGGTGGCGCGTGCCCCGGGCCCAGGGTCTGGCCGGGGAGGAGGGAGGCCAGCCCAGGAGGTCGGGCCCCGAGCTGTGGCTGCTGACTGAACAGAGCAGCCTGGCTCCTGAGCTGGGGGGGGCGGGGGCTCCACATTCACAGATGCTCAAGCGGCAGCATCTGCCGGGGGGGGGGGGGGGGTGGAGCGGACAGGATACCAGGAACTTGCCACCCCGCGGTGTCCAGAACCCCGAGCCCCAGACCCAGGGGCTGGCGAGCAGGCCGGCCTCCAAGTGGCGTCTCCCTTCTGCGTGGGAGGCAGGCCCACTGCGCCTGCCCGGAAGACGGCAACATCTGGGGCAAAGCCCTACCAGCAACATCTGGGGGAAAGCCCATCGTGCTCAGAGGCGGCACCAGGAGAAACCGGGCTCCGGAAGGACCTCAGGGATGTACTGAGGGGCCTGCCCGCGGACGGGAAGCTGCTGTGTGACCCACTGAACACTCAGGCTTCGGGAAGCAGGGCACACCGACGACAGCGGCGTCAGGAGGACGGAGGGGGGCTCTGGCTCCAAGCTGACGTCCTGTCCATCAGGAAGGAGGCCATGCAGGCCGTCCCTCAGGCCCTGGCTCAGCGGCGCTGCCAGTCTCTCCGCCAGGTCCTCTGCCGCCGCTCGGAGGTCCTGGGAGTTCTCCCAGACGCCTCTGTCGGTACCACCCGGAGACGGGGACCAGAGTTGCTGGCCACACCCGGACGAGGACTGGTCCTGCCTCTTCCTAAAGGCCCCAGGCCGGGAAGCTCAGGCAACGACGCAGGAAGGTGCTCACCCGGGGGCCCGCTCCCCAGTCCCCTGCCCTGCTCCCCGTGCAGGGCTGGGCTCGTGACCAGCACTCGGGGCGCTCTCTGCAGCCGGGAGACGGTTCAGAACGACGGCGGGTGGCTGGGTCTCTGTCGCTTGATGGAGACAGCTTGACAGCTGAGTCTCTGTCGCTTCCTCTCAGGAGCCCTCTCCTCAGGCCTCCCACCCCGGCGGCCAGCAGGGACCAGGTGCTCGGGGATGTCCACCTGGAAGACGCCCTTCCCGCCGGGCCTCGGGATGGGCTCCAGCAACCAACGGGGGTTGGAAAGCGCCGTCAGGTACTTCTGCCCCAGGCCGCTCAGGACGGCCTGACTCTCCAGCTCCCGCAGCTCAGGGGGAGCCAAGTTTTCTGGGCACAGCCAAGTCTCCCCGACATCGACGAGCCCTGCACACGAAAACAGAGGCGCACACATGTTTGTCCCGCCCAGAAAACCAAGCCCCCCAACCAGGGGCTGCAAAGTCACCACACTGGGGACCCAGAGGCGGCCAGCAGAGGGACACGGGGTGATGGTGGTCCCTGTCAGTGAGCCTTTCCCAGGGGATGGGGCGTGTGCGAGGCCGGGCTGGTGGCGAGACAGAAGAGCAGAGGGTCTTGTCCTCCACGACCCACCCTGGGCCCGGGCGGGTGCAAGTCAGGCCAGGTGAGGGCAGCAGGCACAGGCGGAGGTCCCCACCACCGGGAGCCGTCCTGTCCCCCAGCACTTCCCAGGTGACAGAACTGACAGAGACCTCCTCCACCAAGGCCCCGGGGGGCTTCCCAGGACCCGCGGGCAGGAGGGCGGGCAGACAAGGTGAAGCCAGCCAGGTGGCTGAGTCTGAGGCCACCCTAGCCCACCCCGCGCCGTGCCTGTGCTCCCTCACGGCCTGTGGCACACACACGCACACGGTGGAGCCCACATGTATGCACAGATGCAGCGGGAACGGTCCCCGCCTCTCAGATCACAAGGGGGACCTGAGGCCCAACAAGGAAATGTTTGCAGGGGTGGGAACCTTGGCCTCCACCCTCACCCTCAGGGCCCCTGGCTACTCCTTGGAAGCTGCTCTCAAGGAAGCCCCGCCCCGCCCGCGCCAAAGACCAGGGGCCACCAAACTCCCGAGCAGGGCCCTGGGGTCGCCCTGCAGGGGTGGGCAGGGCTGGGCAGAGGGCCACTTGCCAGCTATGACTCCGCGGCCAAACTTGTCTCCTTCCCGAAGCAAGTCCTGCACCTGAGCGGGGGTCATCCCCAGCCTCTCCAGCAGCAGCTCCCTCCAGGCAGCGTCTGCCCAGTCCCTGCGGGCAATGTGGATGGCGATGGTACCGTTCTCATGGCCGCTCAGCAGGGGACGCCAGCGCGTCTCCAGGGTCTTGACCCCATTGAGGACGAAGCCCGCGTAGGGCTGCCGGAAGGACAGGCAGTGGAACTTCATCCCCGCGGCTCCGGGGGGCCTCACGTGGCCTAGGGAAACAGCAACAGGGTCCCCAACGCGCCCCTGTCGGTGGCCCCCAGCTCGCGGCCGGGGGACCTGACAGGCCCTGTGCCGGACACCCCGCTGGCCTGGGCAGTGGAGGGAGCCACACTGGCCGCTCCGCTGTCACCAGGCTGTCAGGGGGCAAGCGCCGTGGACGGGGCTGGCCGCAGGGCTGACTCTGTCCTCTGTAGGAATCTGGGGGCGCTCGCCAGGGGGTGCGGCAGCTGGAGAAGGGCGCGGGCGGCACAGCCTGGGGTTCGTGGGACCACAGAGGCCACGAGCCCCAGGCCCGCGGAGGAGGGAGCCCCGGCTGTCCCGCCCAGTCTGCGGGCACAACAGGGACATCCTGGGCTCGGCTTCCTCCCAGGCCCCATGTCAGCTCCCTGAGGCGCCACCAAGAAGGCTCGGAGGGTCCCAGGTCTCCCAGGCGGGACCCGGGGCTGCGGAGCACCCGTCCTCGGGGTCCGTCTGCCGACTGGCCCTGGGACCCCCCTTGACCTCCAGGGCCCCTGTGGTGCCCGCGCCCCCCAGCCCTCGCCCAGCGCCACTCTCCACCGTCCGCAGGCAGCCGGGCCCGACCCCAGGCTGGAGAGGGGAGAGGAGCAGGACGCTGGCTCCGGGATCACCTCCCGCCTCCCCGGGCGGGCGCGGGGCGGCGCTGAGCCTGCGCAGCGGCGGCCGCAGACAGGCCCGTCCCCAGGCTGCGGTGCCCCCGTCTGCGGCCGGCGCGGCCACTCCTGCCGGCCCCAGCGAGGAGCCCAGAGGTGGGCGTGGGGACGGCGCCCCCGGCCGGCCGAGGCGTGTGTGCCCTGGCGCCGCCGCCCCGGGACGCGGGCGGGCAGAGGTCCAGGCTCCGGCCACCTCACCACGGCGGCGGCCGCGCGGCCCGGACGGACGGACGGACGGAGGGACGGACGGACGGACGCCCCTACCTGGCGCGGCGCGGGCGGGGCGTACCCCCACCGTGCCGGCTGGGCGGCTGCGCGGGCAGGCGCCCGGCGGCTACGCAGCCACGTGATGACGTCACCCCGCACGCGGCGCCCCGGGAGAAGCGACTGGGTTGCCCTGGCAGAGGCTGAGGGGCAACGACCCTGACGGGGTGGGGCGAGGGTGCCACGGCCCGGCCAGGAGCGGGACCCGAAGGAGGAGCCGGGCAGCCGGCGGGGCCGGGAGGGCGGGGCGAGCGTGGGCGGAGCTTCGGCGAGGAGGCGGGGCTGTGAGGCGGTCGGGGGCGGGGCTGGGCGCTCTGGGGCGGGGCGGGGCGCCCGCTGGGGGCGTGGCCAGGGGCATCTAGGAGCTGCTCGGCGCGGGCTGGGGCAGGAGCGCCAGAGGCTCAGAGGAGCTGGGGCCGGGCTCGGGGCAGCTTCTGAGCTGGCTGGGGGCGGGGCTGTGGCGGAGCCTGGGTTCAGTTTTGGGAGGGGCGGTAAAGCAGGAAGGGGTTACCCGACCTCCAGGCTGGGAGTGCAGCTGGGGGGTGCCTTGCTCCCTAGTGGCCGGGCCTGGGCGCTCTGGGTCTCCCTGGGGCGCCCGGGCGGCGGCTGCTGCGTCAGAGGGTGGAGACCTGTCTGAGGAGTCCGTGGTGCCCAGGCCCTCTCCCTGTGTCTGGTCCTTGTTTCTCTCCCCGCTGGGCTTCTGATGTGGGTGCGACAGGCCCGCCCTGCTTGAGCTCTCAGGGTGTTTCTGCTTTAGCCACCCCGGGAAATCCTGCCTGTGACCCTGGTCCACTGCCTCAGTGAGGCTACTTGTCAGTCACCGAGGACAGTCGGGTCCCCTTGGTTTTCACTTTGTTAATCAGCCTGCATTCGCCCCACCCTGCCCTGCAGGTCATCTAGGCAAGGCAGTGACTCCCCTTCCCTTCCCAGTGCCCTGTGGGGTCATTTCCACAAGGCTCGCCCAGCAGCTCTCACCCCCGGCCTGAGAGGGCTGCCCGCCCACCAGCCCCGTTCTGGCACAGGGGCTGGGGCCCGGGCCCGGGAATACCTGCCACCCTGGCCCTCGGGAAGGCCCTGGTTCCCAACGGGGTAGCCAGGCCCAGCGCTGCCCAGGCCCATCTACCGCCTGCTCCTGACGCCCCGAAGCCACCGCAGCTTGGGTCCTCTGGGAAGCAAACTGGAGGGGGGGCTTGGCGCGTGGGGGCCAAGGGGGAGAAGTGCCCTAAGGGAGCGGTCAGGAAGCAAGCAGAGCCGGGTCCAGGAGCATCATCAGGCCTGGCCGGTCCCGTCAGGGGCGCCAGGCCTGTCAGAGGCCCCTGGAGGGCACGCGCACCTCACAGTCCTCAGGGCCGGCAGTTCATCTTCTGGAGGAGCTGGAAACCGCGGGGCTGAACCGTGGCATAGGAGGTAAGGTCCAGGTGGGCAGCAAGGGACGCTGAAGGGCCAAGGGGCTGGGCGGCTTTAGGGCCAGGGGTCCTGTGAGGCGGGTCTGAACGTAAAAAGGGTCTCCTCAGGCGGCAGTGGGAGGAGCGAGGCCTGACAGGGCCAGACCCATTCAGGGAACCCAGAGAAGGGCTGAGGCGGGAGCAGGTGCCTGTGCGCAGCGAGGAGGCTGACAGAGGAGGCTGGGAGAGGAGGCTGGAAGTGTAGGCTGGGAGTTGAGGCTGGCAGAGGAGGCTGGGAGTGGAGACTGGCAGAGGCTGGCAGAGGAGGCTGGAAGTGGAGGCTGGGAGCGGAGGCTGGCAGAGGAGGTTGGTGGAGGCTGTGCCCAGCAGGGCAGAGGCAGGGGCTGCCCCAGGAGTGGGCTGGGCAGGGGTTGTGGCCGCCCAGACCTGCCCTGGAGTTTCAGGAGGCCGATTTTACAGGCAAACTCTTGCTTCTCTTCCTGAGAAGCGCGCATTGCCTCCTGGGTTTGGTTGGTCCTTTCCTGGCTGTCCTGCACCGCGGGCCTTTTGCTGGAGGCCGCCTGGTTCTCCAGGCTGGTGCTGAGGGTCCCCCTCCTGGGCCTTGAGAAGGGCGCCTGGATGGAGGATGGCAGCTCGGGTCTTGTGGGGAGTCGGGATAGTGGCCCTGGGGAGAGTCAGCTGACTCCGTCCCGACCCCTGGAGGAAGTGGCTTTGCAGGTGGGCTCCCTGGTGGCCAAGCCCAGGGAGCGTCCAGGGACAGGAGGGGTGTGGCAGTGACTCCCGCCCACGCCCGTGGACAAGCTGCCCTGAAGGAGGCCGGCAGGTGGGGAAGACCAGGAGATGGGAGGACTAGGAAGGGCGGGCTTGGCATGTGGCACCCGCTGGGCAGATGCTGGAGCTGAGGGGCCGCTCTGTGTCTGCGGCGTGTACCGGCGCCATCTGCTGGCCACTCGTGCAGCTTCCCCTTTAATTCGGGGTGGTGGGCATCAGGGGCCTGATCAGGGGGTACCTTCCAAGGCAGAAAGCTGCAAGCAGCGTGGGGGCGCATGAAAAGAGGTGCTAGGCCTAATAGGCCCATACCCTGCAAAGTCCCTCTTCTCTCTCTCCTTGCCCTGACCCTTCCTGCCTTCTTGGTCTTTCAAGCCTCCCGAGGCAAAGGGCTGGCAGATGGGTGGGGATGCATAGTGAAGCCAACCCAGGTCCTGATGCTCCTGCTCGTCAAGAGGGAACCTGTTAACATGCGCAGTTGGTGTCTTCCTCCTGCAGGGCCCCTGTGGGGCGTCCTGGCACTGGCCCGGGAGCCTGTCATTTGCATGCAGCAGGCCCTGAGGGTGGAAGCAACCCCTTCTCTGAGTGGACGGATTCCAGGGAGCTGGCAGGCTGGGCCGGGGCATAGGGCACACAATGGGGCTGGCGAGCAGTGACTGCGAGCTTGTGGGATGAGCACCCAGAGCCTGGGTGAGGAGGCTGGGGGCCCTGGGGTTCCCGTCAGCTCTTCTCTGTGTGCCCTTGGCATTGACTGGCTCGGTGTGTCTGTCTCCTCTCTTGTAAGCTGGGGGTACAAGTGCCACTGGCATCACAGGGCTGTTGCAGAGCACGTCCTTGCTCAGCGGCCTCCTTCTGGTGGGGCTCAGCTCTGTGCTTCTGCATTTGCAGGTCGGAGAATGTTCTAGCAATGCTGACTCTGAAGAATCTTCTTGATTTCCAATCTTTGTAAATTTCAGTTTTCTATCAATACTCAGGGAATGAGATGTGATCATGGTAAAACCTCTTCTGTTCTTTGGAGGATCTCTCTCGTGCCATGTAAAAATGCAGTGGTTTATCTAGAATCATGGTTCTTTGTGGCCATTGAGCCATTAGTCTGTCTGGAGGTTCATATGTAAACCACATCAAAAGCAGCATGCCTCCTGAAGGCAAGGTCTGCTCCCCACACCCCTCCCCAAATTTTCTTGGCCCCTTCCTCATAGAGGTCCAGAAAGCTCACCACAGAACACAGTTTGAAAACCAGTGAATTCAAGCAATGTTTCTCAATCTGGAATGTGCTTCCAGGTCCCTCAGTGATCTTGTCAGGTGCATCCTCTGGTCCTTGATTTCTGGGGAGCCACCGAGACTCTGCCTTTATCACCAGCTCCTGGTGGTGGTGAGGTGGCTGCTCCGTGGCTGGTGAGGGAAAAGCACGAGTCTGATCACCGACTACCAGTCACCTTTCACAGCCCTTGATTTTGTCTTTATTTGCAGATACTCTGATTCTACATAAATTGAAATTTTGTGTCGAAAGAATTTTTACTGAGGGCAAAGTCTTGATGTGGAAACTAACTTTCTGGAACATGAAAGAGTCAACAAGTATTTGTTTCCCTCCCAACTCTGAGTGTATGAAGCATCTGTAAACTATTTTGTAAAGAGCGCGATGTGCCCTAAGGAGCTGTTGAGTTATCTACGCAATTAGGAAGAGCTGCACTTTGGTGTGGGGACAGTGTGGATCCTACGGAGTCCTCACTACGTGAGTTCATGGGCAGTTTTTCAAGGGAGCTTCTGGCAGAAACACGTGATCTGCTTTCAGACGCTGGCCAAGGCCTGTCTCCATGTTCTGAGTCTCCGTGAGGGTTTAGAATGGTGGATAGCTCTAGGTGCTTCTGGCATCATGTGCTTTCTTGATAACTTTAGCCACGTGGCACCTAGGAAGAAGCCGTCATGTAAATGACCTCCAGCCTTGTGGCCAGTGCTGAGTCAGGTGCCCCAGGTTCAGTGCTCATAGAGCACCCTCCCTTCTGCATTCCTTGCTGGGACTCCCGTGTGCCTCCAGAAGACCAGCCGAGACAAGGAAACCAGTAGCTGGAGTGGTCAGTATGGTTTTTATTTGTTTGCTTGCGTTCATTTATTTTTTAAAAAAAAGTTGTAATATTACTTTATGACATTCAAGTTTCAGATTTATAAATTTCTTGATATAGATATAGATATATAGATATATAGAATGCTAGATATAGATATATAGAATGCTGAGTCAACAGTCAGCATTATAAGTCCACATCTGTATGTGCTACGTCATGTTTACCACTGCACGTCTCGCTTCTACCCTTCACCACCCCACTGTCCGCTCCCCCTGTGTCGTGTCCCAGCTCAGGTCGTCTTTCCACGCCTAGGCCACAGCCCTGTCCTTGTTCCTGGCCACTTTGCACTATTTGGCACTCGTCTCGGTGTCCTTACTGGCTTCTGCTGTGCATCTCCTCCTGTCTGCCCTATTAACTGGATCCCCAACCTTTTATCAGTGTTTGGTTTCTCTTCTGGAATTCTCTAAACCAGACACAGATGCACAGTGAAACTAATGAAGTTTAAGATTAAGATTCAAGGTCACTGGCTCACACAGGCCGGTGGAAGGAGCCCCAGCATTATGGCTTTTGCTAGTCGTATAATTTGTAAACTCTACAGAAGATATCTTGGTTGGTTCGGGACACCCGTCTCGCCGCTCTGCTCTCTCCATCACTCTTGCTCTGGGTTGTGGCGGCAGTGCAGCGGTCACGGGCTTTTGGCACTCTGGCTAAGGGGACGTTAAACTGGGGTGCCTTTAGTTTGCATTTGGAGAGATGTATTTTAGGGGCTGCCAACAATTCCGTGCATGGTCAGTTCCTT